ATCCTTCCGCCTCAGCCTTCCAAGTAGCTGGAACTACAGGCGCGCGCTACCACGCCCGGCTAATTTTTTGATTTACTATAGAGATGAGGTCTTACCAAGTTGCCCAGGTGGGTCTCGAACCCGCGGGCTCAGGCAATCCACTCACCTTAGCCTCCCAAAGGCATGGGATTACAGGCTGAACCACCGAGCCGGCTTACTTTTTTATTTATTGTAGAGATGATGTCTGGCCAAGTTGCCCGGAGGGGTCTTGAACCTGTGGGCTCAGGCAATCCACTCACCTCAGCCTCCTAAAGTGCGGAATTACAGGCTGAGCCACCGGGCCCGGCTCAGCCTGGGTTTTTGGCGATGGTGGTGTGTCTGACTAAGCTCAGCTCCGGCCAGCCTGTGTTGACCCCGGCTGTGGGCCAGGCCCTGGCCTGGGCGCTCTGTTGCGTTATCTCACCCCGTCCTCCCAGCACCCCCAGCGATAAGATAAGTGTGAGGAAGCCAAGGCTCGCTGAGGTTAGTGGCTCGGCCAGGGTCTCACACGGACTGGCTCGGCCAGGGTCAGGCTCTGGGACCCCTCCCCCGCCAGGTGGTAGACCTCGGAGTGACAGCGCACACAAGGGCTGGCAGGGGTCCAGCTGCCCTTCCCTCTGCCTCAGCCACTGCCCAGATGCGAACACCTGTTCCGGAAACGGCGGCCATTGTTCACGCCATCCTTCCTCCGGTGGGCCTTTCCTGTTTGTGACCCTTGCATGACGGCCCCCGGCCCCACCCGTGCCAGATGTTCCCCCTGGGGAGCTTTGACCCTTTGCAGCAGAAGGGGCTGAATGGGCTACTCCCCCCGAGGGGAGAAGCAGGAGTAGAGGGTCCCACTGGCCTCCCCACCCCACACATCTGGCCGGGAGCCGGGCAGGAGCGTGAGCGAGGTCAGGGCCCGACAGTCTGAGTCTGCCTCCTTAGCCCTTCGCTGGCCGGGCCCAGGGGAGACCCGTCCTGTGGCTTCAGGGCCTGCCTGCCCCACGCCCACCCCTCCAGGTCCCACTCAGGCCCCCAAGCCGGCACCGTTGCTCTTCCTGAGATTCACTCCGTGCTGCAGAATGACAGGCGGCAGGTGGCTTTGGGGCCCGCAGTCCTTTCTTCTGCCAGTCGAGGGGTCCCGTCCTGGGATTCTCTCCCACATCTGCCTCTCCTGGGCCTGTGCCTGGCGGGGGGGGTGCTGCAGGGAGCAAACCCCTGGCTTTAGGGCACGGGGGCATTGGGGGGCAGGGGCCCGGCCGCCCCTAACGGAGCCTC